TTTTTGTTCTGTTTGCATCACTGATTATTGATTAATCACTTTTGGTAGGAGCTCAGGTGTAGAACTCTGACAACAAGGCGTTGGGTGCCTTTTCACCTCATCAGGTGATATCGATACACGTGTATGTGTGTGTGCATCTGTGCGAGCTCGGGCGACTGAGCGTGTGAAAATGAAGCATTCACATTCCCATTAAATGCTCTCGTTGAACTGTGACGTTCCGCGTAACGCTCCCACGCTATCCATACCGGACTGTTCGATTTTTGGTGAACATGCTGTGAAATTTCGATTTTAGCTCTATCCTGGTCATCCGTGTGACCCTAGGCTGAAGCGACTCTAATTGCAACATCAATCTATGTGCATGCACATGCAGACGTGAAATATTTCAGTTTTGCGTTATATATATATATATAACTGGTTTGAACAAATGTGCATAGCTTTTCATCCAGCCAAAAAGAAAAGGGTCAATGTCAGAATTAAAGTTTCGAACACCATGGCTTGATGCAAGTTCATGCATATCCTCACTAGAAAGATTTTGTATGCTGCGGTTTATGTGAGGATAAACAACAATACGCTAATCGATTAAATGCATGCGAACGACTTCTGGAAATATTAGCGTGCAGAGAAAGAGTTGATCCACAAAGAATTTTATCAGTACATAAAACACAGTATCTGATGTGAGCCCCACAAAGACTAAACGACGAAACACTGGATGCAACCACAGAAAAGCGGTGGAGAACGAACTCATGATTATTACGTTTGATGTGCTATTTTCGTGGGCCCGAAAATACTACAAGTAAAAAATCTAGAATAAGTCATCAACACTTGTGCATGATAGATCAAGATATCACGGTTCAACTCGTACCAACGAGCCTAAGTATGAGAACGTGAAAGAATAAAAAGTATGTTTTATAAACTACACTTAGTGTGATCGGTCTGGAGAAAATTGCTTCATGGAATGAAACCATAGGTATTATATACTGTCACTGCGGAAAATGAATAAGAACTAAATAATGGGGAAAAGTCAGGAATACGGGTGCGAGAGTAAGGAAAGATATATTCAGAACATTTGAACAAGTTTGAGGAGAGCCCAGAATGATTGAAAAATGCGCCATCATTTAACGGGTTGTTGAATAAAGGAAGAGATTTTGGAAAGATGACAAATTTTCTGTGCATTTACGGGAAGAATTCAAAAGAGAAAAGATCAGTGCCATTGGTGTCACCTCGTAACTCAACTGTTATAATGTGTGTTGTTTGAAAAGTGTGGGCTGTCTCCATATGTGTGTTTGGCGGTAAATTTCAGCAAATTATCAACCCAATGGAGGTGTGTTCGAATCCCACCACCACCGTCGTCTAACTTTCCCCATTCTTTGTGTTGTTTGACGCACCGCTAATTGACCGATCTATCTGTTCTGAAAATGGTAATACTATGTATTCAATAGAAGGGAGTAAAATATAGGAATGCAAATATAAGCTAAGCATTCCACCGTGTTTATTGATATTCTACCAGTTAAAAAACTAATCATAGAGGCTTTCGTAAAACTCTGCGGTTGTCGAATATTAATTTAGCAAAGGAATAGAGATACGTGAATTATGAGCATGATGAGGCGCATCAAAATCATGCTTCTGCGATGGGGTCTATTTTGCAATCGACAGCTTTGGAAATTTCGAACATTCAACTAAGTGACTTAAGGGAACCTTTGCATGGAAGAATTTTGAATTTCTTATCGTGAAATGTGATTAGGCGCAGGGAGTGATGAAACCAGCTGCGACGTTCATTAACCATTGTTTTCATGTGCATATTCACGTAGCCATTTCGATGACACCGTTTTTAAAATGCTTCAGGGAAAAGAGGACGCTGGTGCTACGATGTACTTCCAAAATATTAGGTAAGGTGCTAGTTTGCGTGGGAATAATGAGATTACCAAGACAAAGGGGCCAGGTGTTAGGCCACCAATTTGTGACCTAGGAGTCCCGGGTTTGAACCGCTCCACCGCCCCAGGCAGCCTTTGTATGGCTGCGATCCCCTTCCTGGATGTTGACTGTAACTTTGTATATTCAATAAATAAATAAAGTAAAGAGACAGGCAGACAAGCAGTAATTGCACAGTTTTCCCTAAGAAGCAGTTTTTCATATATCATTTTTTACTAGTTATGCCTAATTTTAGCTGCACAAAACATAACGATAAACTTTCCGTATGCTTGAGCACTTTGTGGAGCTTCTGACATCCGTATGCTTCTAATTCGATTTGGAATACTTTGCGACAACTGATAGAGAGCACTATTTCGTTCACCTCGAGCCTTCTCAAACCGCACAATTTCGGATGAGAAAATAGGACTGTTAGTTCTGAGCAAAGCGATTGAAGGTTAGCCCAAAAGGAAATAGCTTTGTCAATTTTTTGTAATACGTCGAAAGAAAAACTGTTGGAAATCAACTGTGTCAGACTAACCGAACGAAATCACTGTAGTCCAAAATCTGACAGATTCAAATAAACGTAAACGATTGATTCCGGTTGCAGTTTCTTTTTAAAACTTTTTCAAGTAGAACTTGTAGTTCAAGAAGACTTAAGAGTATTCTTCCGATCGATTACTCACTTAACAAAAGACGCACTAACAGGACAGTAAATTTGGTTATGAAAGCTTCAAATGCACCCAACAACCACTCCATAGTTCGGAATAGAGCTGCTGCCATGTAGAAATTAGTTTCTTTAAGATTTTCAATACAATCCGATTTTGAATCAGAGAATTTCCCTGGTGGTTTCTTCCGCTCTTCTTTTTCCTGTAGATTTCGATTGCACGTGGAATCAGATCACAGGTATAATTGACCAGTTGATCAACGTGACCTCTTTGTTTCCATCATAACACCCTTGAGTATAAATAAAACCAAAACGCTTGGTTGCAAAATATGACCTGCTTTAGAGTAGTACAAATTGGTTGTTTTGGTAGTTTTCATTTGGTTAGCCGACGATGTAAAAGAGGAATCCGTCAGATGTGTTTACGTAAACCACTATTTCGCTTGTAACTCGATTCCTTGATCACGGATCTGTACAATTAGAGGCTATTTGAATGTTCAACGCAACTGCTTGCTGACTGTTTGATGATTTACTGGCAGAATACGATGCAAACACATAGAGGCACAGCATTTTTTCAACCACCGCAGAGAACAACTCTGTAGTGCTTCCGTGAGCTGTCCCCCTCCGTATGTTTGTTGTTTGCTTACATCAGTAGTTTCTCCCTTATTCTTTTCCATCATTTCGTAAAGGATATCGTTTTACGCCAATCCATCTCCCCAGCTCTTGATTTCAATAGATTTATGGAACTTCCCCCCCCATGTGCTCACTCCGACTGACATTGAATCCGTCCAAGTTTTCGAATCTTATCTTTGCCATTCCACGATCACCAGGGGCAATATGGTCAATAATAGCAACCATCTGACTCTAGAATAGAATCTTTCAAATCAGGGGATTTCATACGGAAACGAATAAGGGGAAGTTTCTGTAATGCATCTTGCTTGTTATTTTATCAACTCAATTAGAATAATAATACTTCAAAATGGTGTTTTTTTCGTCCTGCAGCACCTCTACCAAAATAAAATGTACTTCAGTAGAAAGATAAGCGGCGTTTTAGACTCATACAAAATTGACATTTACATATTGCTTTCGGCCCAGTTTGAAACTATTCCCTAAGGGACAAAAGGAGTAGTGTATTTCTGTATCAGTTTAAATAGACTACAGCATAAGACAGCGAAATTGTGCTTTATCACTACAGTTGATCGTGTGATACAAAAGTTAGCAGATTGTCTATCCTATTAAAATAATTCGAATAACACCGGTGTGTGGGGTCTAACGTAACTATTCCTTTTGGTCTATGCGTGCATGTATTTGACGGCAGCGGAATGATAAAGTGGGTCGGTCATGTGCATTTTGCCTGTCAGCCGTGTTCATGCTCACTCGATGCGTTCACACGAACTAAACGACTGCTATCATTTTTGTGTTATTACATAGCCGGAATAGAAATCCTCTTGGCCTTAAAGTTCGTGTCAAATCGATCATGTGAGTGTGTGTGTGTGTGTGTGCGTGCGTGCGTGCGTGGAAATGCGGGCTATTCTGGTTGACGTTGTTCAACTTGCATTTCAGTACACATGAGAGAATTCTTTTGTTGAGACCTGGATTCATAACATTGATAATCTGGTCAAAGATTGATTGCTTTTTAAAATACTGCGAACTTAACATGAAAGTAGAGGTTTAGATGGTGAATGCTTAGACTAGCCCATTCGGTTTTTCACAGGCACCAGACACAGTGATTAAGCCATTCACACCGTCGACCGTGTAGCTCAAGGGTAGGGGTTTGATGTTGCAGCCCGAAGAATCGCGGTTTGAGTCCTGACAGGTACAGTAAAAAGCACGCACTGCTGATGAGTCCCAAACAGGACAAAGCAGCCGTCCAGTGTTCTTTGTTGGTTATCACAAACATTTCCATGGCATTGAAAGTAAAGATTCCCCACAAGGCAAAATGATGTTCATCAGTATCAGTCGAAATTCGATTTTATACCAGTTTTACACCGTTAATTTCGCTAAGCAACTTAACTTGGACAAGAAATATTTGCAAAGGACCGCGAATGTTCAAATCTCGATGAATATAAAGATTTAGTTTGTACCCACTTGGTATTCAGCTGAGTGAATCACTCATAGTGACAGAAACGAACTTGAGATTACAGACGAGGGCAAACGTCGTCCTTGTATCAGAGAATAAAGAGGTTGATATATTATGATTGAAAAACAGAGAAACTATTTCAGGTGAGGTTCGTTTCAAATGATTAGGTTATTCGTCATCACAAAGTTATATTCATGACAATTGTAAAGAAACCTTTTGGAGCTAATCACTTTGGTCACATTGATGAATGTTTNTTTTGGACTGAAGAGACAATGCTAATGATAAGGCCTTTGTGCATTGATGTGTCCTGATGGTGAACTGAGTCTCAGTTATTGTCTCTGTTTCTAGATTATGTATTGTACATTAAACACACATAAACTCGATGTGGATAAGGTCCTCGGGCGAGAGATTGGACTGAATGACTTTTTGTTCGCTCACGTCAAAAGTCAACCGAAGGAAATTCGGATTCGCAAAGACTGCGAGGCGTTCGGCATGACTCTGACCGACACCGGCTGCGGAGTTGTGTTCATCAAACGCATTCTGCCCGGTGGAATGATGGCGTATGCGTCAGAGGCGTGCGGCGGAATGATTGAGATTGGTGATCAGATTGAGAAAATCAATAACATTTCATTTATCGGTCGACGGCACTACGAGGTCGCCGCGTACCTACGCAGTATCCCCATCGGGGCAACGTTTCTGCTCCGATTGGTGTCACCAGAACGGTCGCCTATATGTGAGTGAGTGATTGTTATCAAAATGAAATTTTTATTTTTACAGAAATTTGAATCCGGACTAGTAAAACTGCGTTTTCAAAAATGCATTTCGTTTATGCAATCTTTATTTGATTCTGTTGATAATCATCGCTTCGATGCAACAGTTTCAGTTCAGTTTGTACAACCATTAACCTTGCACTTTCGTGCGCCAGCCTTGGTTGCTGTCTTTTGGCTGCCCAGTTGGATGAAGCTGTAGAAAAGTTTTATGTCAAGTCGAAGAAAAAATGAAGAATCGCAGTACATTGAGAATAAGATTAGGTTAGTGTCCGGAAAGCGTCTTTTACGTTGATTTGATGACTGAACTCCAACATATGACTTGCAGTTGACTTCGGTGGTAGTCTTTCACACACAAAAATCTAAATCACGTTCGCACATTTGGGTTGAGAGCCGGTGGTCTGTTCTCCCTAGCTACCTCTATCCCTGTGTACTTTGAAGCATTGGTAAATTACACGGTTATTCAAGGGGAACAACGATTATTTTCGTGTAGTGTCAAAGCGCTGGTGGCATCGAGTGGCAGTTGCACTGATTAGTGAGTCGTTTGCTTGGTAGTTCAGCCAGATAATTTGATTTAAGCGACAGGCTCATCAAAATCACCAGTTTTCCTAAACGAACTCATATAGCAAACTTTTCTTTCCATCGAGGGTCTAACAGATTTTTGTCTCTTTCAATGAAAGGTCATGTAATGTAGCTACGCGCTTTCGGATGTGAAAATAATTGTCCGAGTTGATGAAATAAGAGATTCAATTAGAAGATGGGGATTGTGCACTGAAGTTACTCTGAACCGCATTGCACTACGATAAAAATCTAAAATCGGCTTTTGCATCAGCTTGCTATAATTTCTCTGAAATCGTCATGTAGTATTGCACATATAACTGTTCGTCGGAGTTGACAGTTTGATGCAGCACCAATTACCATTTTTATCAAAACGTGTGCACAAGTTTCACTTGGGGGAATAGTCATACAATTCATATTAGCGGGAATACTCGAAAGGAAATTGTATTATAGAAAAGATCTTAATAAATTTATTAGATAAACCGAGTAGACCAAGAGACTTTCATTCTTTTTATACCATTTAGGTTTAGAAAGAGTGGATTTGAGTAGTAGTTTGTGTTCCTATTTCAATTATTCATCATGACTATTTTATATTTGCTTGGATCCAGACTAGAACAAACGGATCATGACAAAGTAATCAAGTCATACTCTTGTTTGTTGTGGTAGCGGGGTATTGCCAGGTTGCCAAAATCAAAACGCTTCCGGTTTCTTGGGAATTTAGAACCGGAGGCTTCAGCTAAACAATTCCTGATCTGGCAAGTAGCCCGGTTTCTATGGATCATGGTTCTGGGGAGCCGATCTACACTTAGTCGGATCCATGGTCCGTATTACCCTGTCTGCACCATTTCTCCATCGATTTGGTGCCGATCGTAACCCTAATGTTACGCAGCTAAGTCGTTTACCTATTTTTCGGAGGATTAAAATCGGTGTTTTCCTGCTCCCTTGAATAAGATAGCTGTTTTTGTTTTGTCAAATCGCCTTTAACTCCAGTTTTCAAATTTGTCCAAAACGGCTCCACCAAATAATTTAGTGCTTAAGACTTCTCAGCAGAAGATTTTGGAGGAGTACCTGATGAGAGCAATTTTCAAAAGTATAAAAAACGATAAGCTAACACACAGTAAATATAAAACTAAGCATAGTCAACCAAACAAAATATATTGTTATTCTCGTAGTCGTAATCCATGTTGTTTTCTTATATAACCAAATTTCAACATTTTCTGGTAATATTGTTGTTGCATTGGGTCCGTACTTCGTCACAAGCATATATATGTATACAAAATATGGGAGATCAACCCCGCGGCAACTGAACTCATGGCGTCAATAACTTTTGGGGGCACAAAGCTGGATCAAACAACATGATGACTAACGCCCCACCAATTGCCGAGAGTTCTGCATTGAGTCCTGCATTACGCAATAAGGAGTCGAAGGAGGAAGCAGGATCAATGATATGTTTGGTTATCATGACGTGTTTAGCTAAGGATAACCCCGTGTTCCTTCTGATCGCCTAACCATCGGGCTTTGAGTACATTATTGACTTCAACAAGCACTTTGGGATGTGTTTAGTCATTCGTTTTGATAATTAACGACTGGTACTACCTTTTTAAAGATCAGTTATGTGTTGTTTTACTTAATAGTTGAAAATTAAAAGTAATAAAAATGACGATTTTATTGCTTTCATAGATTGTGTTGTGTTTATCCGAATATCGTTGTAGCTGCAACGTTAAAGAGATAACTAGACAAAAGGTATTGCTGAAATTATCACATACAAAGAATCGATCACGTGAGTGATGTCACAAGGACTTCGCTTTTCTGGAACAAATCAGAGAATGCGTAAAAAACTATTAATTCGTTTCTAAAATTCAATTTTCTTGATCATGTGCTCAAGTCTATTTGTGATTTCATAGATCATGATTTTTGTCTCCTACAAAAATAAATCATGATGGAATGCATTTTCAGGCAGCTACACAGAAGAACAACATTATTTCATGCTTAAATCTGGCAGAGGAAAGTAGCGACGCTTCTTATAGAGCTAGGTCCATCAATGTGCTTTTGCCATCCCTAAGAGTGAAACTTCAAAAAACGCAGCCTCTTGGGTAGAAAACATTTTCGAAGAAGCTAAATCATAAAGCCATTTAAATTCATTATAATAGAGTGCAACGAGAAGTTGTCACTTGGAGGTTGTCAAAGTATTGAGCGCCTTACGGTACCACGGTGCATCTGAGAAAAGTGATAAGGTCAATTGGAATTTAATTAATCGATCACCTTTAAAGAGCGGAAAGCCATTTCGACAAATAAGAACCCACCGTGTATGTGTGGCGGCCTAATACTTTGAGAGGAACTTGTTCCTAACAGTCACCCAGATCCTGGGGGAATTGAGTGATAAGTTTCGAACCATTTCCTAAAAGAACAGAAAACTTAAGTTTATATAAGTATAAACCTAATAGCGAAGCGTATAAAACATACAACGCGGTTAATCTAAAATGAATGTATTGGAAAAGGCTTGAGGAACCATGAAGGAAAATCTGAGTTGCATAACTTCCACAAAAATGATGCATCATGGCTAGATCAGGATGCATCCCCGCTTGAATGGATACCCAGGTAGTTGACTGAAAAAGACTAAGCAATCAAGTTGTTAGCAGTAAAAACGGTTGCGTCTGTTTGGGAGTAGTTTCAAGTATCCATCAGCTTTCAGTTGAAAGTATAAAACATTTTTATGCTCGCTCAGTATGGAGTGTACTAATAGCATCAGTTTTCGATGTGTTACTCGGGATATTCATGAGAAGTTCTGGATAGAGAAGAGTTACTAGAATATTCATTATAATGGAAATTGCTAACGATAGACACAGAAAAACTGCTGGTAGAAAAGAACCGATTACTAGAATGCCAGCTGCGATTGTTTCGCATAATTGTTTACGCAAGTGTTTTATTTAGAAAGTCAAACTAAACATCCTTGCCTCCAGCAATACTTACCTTTGGCATATTTGCTTATCCATTTACACCGACATGTACTCAAAAGATAAATCACGAATAACGATACTGAACCAAGTGAGATAGAATCACATAGGATGAAAAATTTCTTTCTATACCGCAATATTTTGCAATTTTATAAAACAAGAGGAGGTGGGGCCAAGTGTTTAGATCATCAGACTGTGGATGGCAACCACCACCACAACAGCAACAACAACAACTACTACCACTACTACTACATTAATAGCTAGGGCAGTAGTAATGATACCGATAACAGAAAACTTTAACGTTCGTTTTACCTCTGCAAAATGAAGATGAATCGATATTTTAAAGCACTGAGAGGAAGAAATTAATGTCCGTTCATTAGTATTTTGGGAAGTTTCAGTTATATCATTCCCCTCCTAATCCCATTAGGATATTATAAAGCACAACAAATCAAGCATTGAGGCCACGAATGATGGAATAAATCAGACCGTAGTCGAACAGGGTCGTCTTATAGTCAAGCAAAGATGCAGCTCACAACCTGTACAAATTTGATGTTTCTAAGTTCCTTGTTATGCAATATCTGATCTGCATCACAATTTGATGAAACACCAAAGAATTAACCGCAATTATCTCGCAGACTGATTGATATAAAATCAATATAGATCAAGTTTACAAGTATAAGCCGTGCTCGGCATTTTTGCACTGAATGATTGCAACCAAATGTGCCCCCAGAAACAGTTTGTTAGAACTTTGGTCTTACCATGGCCATCCACTAACAATCTGGTGACGTAACCTCCGGCTATGATCAACCACTCATTCACCTACCCATCTATTCACAACCCCCTCTCATTTTCCACGCACACACACACACACACAAACATACAAATTCGCGAACATCAATTAGCACAAGTCCATCATCTCTCGTTAAATTCTGATTTCCTCCTCAGATATTTGTCTCCTCTCCCCACCTGTTTTAATGTTATAAATTGTGCTGTACTTAGCCAGTTGAGGTGGCACCGAAAACGAGCTTGTTCGCTATTTTGTGTTAGCTACTAGATTCTTGTGGAAACGTAGTTCAACTTTCTGTTTTTATTTTATATTCTTACGACCCATCCCGTTTTGCGTAATTTAGATATGCTGAATTCTCGGGCCACATTAAATGCATCTTCCGTTGGTCTTGGTGGAAAGAAACGAACCATCCGTCTCCGTACTAATGGAACAGTGGAAGAACGAGTGGTAAGTTCATTTTTTGTTCCTTTTAAACTCCGTTTGCTGCTCTGTCTGATGTGTCATCGCGTAGATTTGAAGGAGTTTGCTCAATCTGATAAGAAGTCAAATCAGTTCCGACTTAACAACACACCGGTGTCAATTAGCGAAAGTGAATTTTCTCAAATCTGGTCAGTTCTACTCCTCTTCAGGAAGGACATATTTACTGACATGCTCCCAGTTGGTTAATGAAATAAAAGAGAACCTGAGCATATCATTTGCCATGTAATGTTTTACGTAATCGCCAAAGAAATGCGTCTGATTTCCGGTTCAATCCCTTTAAAACACTTCATCCAGGCTTACAATTTTGGACTGAGAGACGAAAAGCTCACCCTTGAGTTATGCGGTCGACAGTGCGTGGGTTCATAAATTAACAGAGGAATTATCGTTTTAGAATATCATGCTTGGATTGGTACATTCCGCACACAGGCACCGGGTGCCGTTAATGGTATTTAGCATGAGTTTCACTCCCTGGAATATAGGTGGTTCTCTACCATTTAAATGCGATAGAAATCTATGTGATAACCGAAATGGTGTACTGAACCGCCGTTTCGTCCTGTTGAAACTCATCCGCATTGCTTACTTTGGTGTCTCAGCCGGTACTCGATCCGCGTACTTTCGGGTTTAGCTAATCCATACATGATATTTTAAATTGATGAAGTCACTCTCTCAAGGTGTTGAGCGTAAACCGTGCAGCTCAGGGATAAGGGTTTTGATTCGTAAGCCGAAGCTTTGCGGTTCCGTTCCCGGCAGGGAGGTAACTTTTACGAACTACTGAAGAGTCACAATTAGGTTGACACAGGAGACCAGTATACTTTGTCTGTAACCACAGAGATTTGTCATTTGTGGAGGAATTACCTTATTTATTCCATGCGTATTCACCATCACAAGGGTCTGCATATGTAGATCGCGCCCTTGAAGATTGTGATATACTGGTGCGTTTTATTAAATGTTTATTTCTGTGTTCCCGGTTACAACAAACCAACTATTTAATGCTCTTGTTGTGAGAAACTACTCACTTATGAGTAGTTCGCAAAAAAATGCGAGTGGCAGTGTTTTTCAACGGCCAAAAAAGAACACAAGCTGATACAGCAAATTGCTGGTGTTCGGTATGGTGACTACAAGAATACACATCTAGTGGACCGTTCCATCAACTATCCTGTCTGAGATATTTTGTTGTATGAATGACAATCCACTGATACCTTGATCGTTATTCGCAATAAATAACCTTCCTCGACCGTACACCGCCTTCTGGAATTATGATACTCTTTGTTAGTCGTTACATAAAATTGCACTGCGACTTAAAGCATTATTACGCGTGTGGAATTGGAAAACTGATCGGGACTAGGATCAACACCAGAACAGCTTTGTGTAAACTAGAGATCACATGGAATATACAATACAACTCCAATTTGAGAACAAACTCATCTGTTTGATCATGAGAACAAAGTTAGCAAACAAATTTGGTTTCCATGCTTTATCGACTTGCCAACAACAGCATGCATTACAAAAACACTTCGTTAATTGCACCAATAAATGCCTATATTGATCTATTTTTACGTTCAACCTTCACTGCTTGCAGCACCTTGGTAAAAGTACTTAATAAATTAAGTTTCAAACTTTGCACTGCGTAATATGGTGTAAAAATTTGATGGAATGGCTGATTTGCTTATTTGGTCTGGTAGGAAAAACTGTGCGGTAGAATGCAAATCATAGGCCAAGGAATCCGTAGGCTGAACGGAATATATCCTCATTTCTGTTCGAGGTTTTATGCAGTGGATTTAACCTGACACAATGTATCTCCAAGCGGTATACATAGATGACCTGAAATAATAACAGGCTTTAATTTTTGAAGCTGAATGTTTCGCATTTTGGAGTAATTTCATATTTATCACTTAAATAGTTCAGTCTACTATTTAACCTCGATTGGCATCACGTGTCGTCAAAAGATTTCAACTTGAAGCAAAAAAGTATCTGAGTTTAAACTTCCTTTTTTGAAAACTGCAAGAATCCCACGACCATATACACATAAATATCGTTTTGTTGATGAAGAGCTTGTTTGTAAAATGCTCACGTGATCGCGCTTTCTCACATTTTATCACACTGACGTCTCGATGCAGCGTGTTGTGACTGAAAGATAAATAAAGAAATTAAAAACAGTTTGCACAATTTCTCTAATTCTATCGAATTTTGCAGTCGGTTAATTTATCTGACAGTCAACTGGTTACTTATCCAAGGAGACAGATAACTAATTCGTGCCATTTTCTCCTAATTGATAAGACATTTCCTGTATTGCATGTCGATTGTGAAAGTTCAGTAGCCTCGGTGGGATTCGAACCCCGGCATGGACGCCGTCTACGCTTTGTACGCGCATGCTCTACCAGCTGAGCTACGAGGCCACATTGATAGCACTGATAGCCAATTAACTATTTGAACAATTCACCTCGTCTTAGAAGCTCATTCGGTGGAGTCCGGTGAATTCTAAGGAAAACCTGTCGGGGCAGTCAGCTTACATGCTAACTGGTGGATGCCACATGCCTCTGTAAGTTGGATGGGTAAATTCGAATGTGAGAAGATCAGTGCTATCGGTGTGGCTTCGTAGCTCAGCTGGTAGAGCATGCACGTACAAAGCGCAGGCGGCGTCCATGCGTGGGTTCAAATCCCGCCGAGGCTACTGAACTTTTCACAATCGACATACAAACTTCAAATCTGCCAATTAACTATTTGAACACTTCCTGTGTTGTATGGCTGAAATACAAGTTGACGTACAGTCAAAAATGCATTATGTTGTATAACCTCAGAGCAGTTGAAAAACCTTGCTTTGTTTGTGATTTTGCACATTCGATAATTTTATTCACTTCGATTTTGAACCTGAAAAGCCAAGATAGACAAGTCATTTCACGCGTATACTTGTGTGATTTGTGGGTCGATTTAAGGGGAATATTTTCACTTTCAGCTTTTAATCATCTAAGGGTTATGAAGAATATCTAAGACAAGAGCCTTTATACCACTAAAGTTAAGGCAGTAAAGATTAGGAGGGCACCTACTTGTTCATAATTTGAAAACCATTACCCCTGCAAATCAATCTTAAAACTTATTGCATTGGCGGAATTGTAACCAACAGTTGTTCTCCTCAATGGAATAATTTTCATCCCATACAGGGAAAATAAGAAGTGGAGTGATAAGCTTGGAAGTTATGTATAGCTGTTTTAAACTGGTCAACTTTACTTGACCCTACTGATGCCCACACAGGGCTGGGAGTTATACTGCTGGGGTTGAAGCAGCTGTTCAGAGCTTTCTTTTTTGACTCACCTTAATTTATTTTCTGTTCGATAAATCCCTTATTTGTTCAAATAAAATACCTGATTGCTCAATTGTAATTTCTTTTCCAATTGATTGGATATTCTCTCCCTTTCCTTCTGCAGTTTGTAGCTCTCTACAGTTGAATGGCATTTAGTATTATTTAAGTGCATAAACGTGCAGGCATCTGTTTATGTTAGCCAGGGGTCTCAGATTAAGAGGCCTTCCCCTCTCTCCGATAAACGTAGCTTCTGTTTTTCTGCAATAGTGACCCCAAACAGCATCTGCAACTGAGGATCTTCTGCATGAAAAGCGGATTGTTTCATAATAGTAGAGATTTCGGCACAAAAACATATTCGGAAGAAAACTGTTGAAATAAGGTCTGATTTCTTTCAATGGATCACTCACTGCACAGATTCCCAGTGACTATGTGCGTACAGATAGGACATTAATTTATTCTTATAGATACAGGCGTAACACTAACCAAATAGCAAGCGCTGGATATGAAAAGTTTGCCGTATTCGAATAGTTTTCTGCTGGTTTACTCGTTTTCTACGTCAGGTGTATACATACATCACTGTTATTCTATTTTTGAATGCCTAACCCAATGGCCTCGCTTTTCGAAAACTTTTTTGCGCTTGCTAAGGCTACAGTACATGTGATTGGTATCCTTCAGTTAATGGGGTGGAGCACAGACTTATAAGTGGAATGTGCACGATAATATTTTGACCTGAGCATGTTTAGACTGAGAAAATCGACCGATTTATGTGACGCTTTCACCTCTGTCACGTTGTGATAGTTTTCAAGGTCATTTAAAATATGCTTGCGATATTGCAAACATGTGGGTATTCGAGGACTGCAGCTTACGCGCAATTCATCTGCTTTGAATGAAGGCAATAGATTCACTCATTCCCACCTACACAATGGTGCAGAGCCAAAAATGCTTTCCGTTTTGGTTTTGTCACAATATTTGTCTGGCACCCATCAACACGGAGCGTGTCTGTGTCATCTTAACTGACAATTCTCGGGTTTGTACTGCGTATACCATGATTTTGTTGCTTTTGTGCCCATGCTGTGTATACCGTCAAGAAAATTTCGACATTCAGTGAACAAACGAAACTGAACGAAACACGTGATTATTAAAAAGAAACGGACAAAACGGAGGCTATGGGGTTCAAGCATCATAGGAAAGCTAATGTGAGAACCATTCACGCAGTTTGCTTACATTATTTGGTCAATAGGCGTGAACAAATCGAGACCCATCCTAATTGAGCAATTTACTGGTTAGTGTCGTGGCGGATGATTTGAGTTCATGACTGTGTTCAAACGACACCGTTTTTCCCCGTGGTTGTTGCGTAATAGAAGCTCCGAGCCTTTTCTTCACGATCGACGATGTACTAGAGCAAATCTATCGCGCAGCACTTTCGTAGGCCATGCTTGAATTTGGTCGGTTAGTCGGTGATCTAACTATCTTTTCATTGTGTTGATTTAGATACAAATGCATCCGGTCTTGATACACAGTGTAAGTCGATGAATAGAGAAATGATTCTAACGTGGACGCTCTTGACATTCTAATGGTAAAGAAATCAGAACTGAGTCGGTTGCGCAGTAAACATGTTTGATGGTAGACTTGATGCGCTTGCTAACTGCACGACTTTCTTGATGGCTTT